CACATGTAAAAATCCATTAATTAGTGAGAAATCATTAGCCTTCTTCGGAAGGGTTCCACTTCTAAAGAGGAGGTGGTGATGTGCTGAATAAAGGGGAAGGTGACGAGAAAAAGGGAGAGGAAGTGCCGGGGAGGATGGAGGTGGAGGGAAGGGCTGCCCGGCTGGCCCGGGGGTCTCGGCGACCCTGGGGCGCGAACTGCGCGTGAAATTACTGAGCTGCGAACGCAGCACTGGGGCTGCAGACCCCGGCTCATTTGCCGGGAGAAGAGCCCCGGTGGAGTCGCTCACAGCAGTGTTACAGCCCCTCCTCTTAGTTTTAAGAACCTAAGCATTGTTTCTGCTTTGATAAAGGTTACTCATTGCTTATGGGAAAACAACGACGGTGGGCTGTGGCACCTCTTTTGGCTCCTTGCATTGCACTGTTGGAATTAAAAACTAAACTAAAAAAAACGGCCAAGAACATGTGTACTTTGCTTTTTAAATGTAGAAGCCTTAGATTGTGGTACCCAATGGGCACATGATAGGTTATTTACTTGATTTTTACCCCCAGTGCGTTAAAAATCTGTGTAGCTATTTGAACTCATTTTAAAGATATTTTGGAAGAACTATGATAAATCAACTTACGGAAACATTTGGCTTTCACAAGTATAAAACATGCGTTTTGAGTCAAGCACAGGTCTTTCTGGCACTAAAATCAAGTAGGAAATGAGAAAAAAATTAAAACCAGAAGACTTCAGGAAGGTGACAAATTGGAAAGCATTCTAGGAGATTCATAGGACCGTTTTATGTGAAAGACGCTTTCTCTGAGCTTAAAGAGATTATGTTCAGTTTTATAAAAGGATCTTAGGCTCAAAAGACAAGGGTGGGGGAAAGGAAAGACCAATCTATGTAAAAGATAGTGCCATATCCCTGAAATGGTGATATTTTCTTAGTGTCTCTGTTCACTTTTCTCCCAAATTTCCTTCCCTCCTCCTCCTCCTCCTCTTCCCTTCTCTCCCCCTTTCTTTTACCCACCCCCCAGGTATGTAAATGCAGTTGCCTTAAATTCTTTGTGAATGAACATTAGAGCATTTCTCAGAGTTCCCAGTTGGAAAAAGCCTTCCACACAACTTGAAAGGCTGATGTCCCTCTCAGGAAATGAATGAGTCGATAACCTCTGACACCAGTGACCAGTCCAGTGAACCCTACCTTAATTCCACTAATACTGGAGGCCCCCAATCAGGCAAGACTGAATCTCATATCATACCGTGGTTCAGTTATGGTATTTCACACTTTTAAGCTGTGTATTGGTAGGTTTGAATTTCATCAAATTTAACAATAAACAAGGATTCAGATTCCACCTATAGTTTCTGACTTTATTAAACTTTTCTAATTAAGACAAACTTACAGATAAAATACGTACTATAAATGTATGTCAGTGACAACTAAACTGTACTGGCTTGTGAATTTTATGACAATTGGGTTTACATGAATAATAGCTTTCCCCCTCAAGTTACATGCATACTTTTCCAGATTATTTTTTTGTTACCCAGATGTTGATTTTTTAAAGTAAATCTGTCATTTAAAATATTTTTAAAAGGCACATAACTTATTTTAGTATTTTCTATTTTGTATTATGTGAAATGTTTAACCTGGAATGAATGCCCTTGTTAAAGTTACTTCATTATAGTCAGTTGCTTTTTTATTAAAAATAATGCCTAGTAAATGTTTTGTTAACAAATAATTTTTTGAGAGCTTTGAGCTTTTGTTACTCCTTCCAAATCATTTGGATTTTCACGCTTTTTCTTTCCTCCCTACCAAGGTTTATACCCCCTTTCGTGGGAAACAACAAAATAAACAAACAGACAAAAAGTCTTTACAAATTCATCTGTCTTTATTGAAGCCTTTTACCATAGACTGCCTAAAATAGCATATACTTATATATATCCACTTATTTCAGATCTGAACCAATTAGTATACATTTATATTTACTTGTTCAGTAGGAGGAGGAGGTGTGCATAGATGCCATATGTGGATTTTTCAGAAGGTCTTGGATTCAGGCTCCCTGCATTTCAGTTTGTGTGAAACAGTGTTGGTTAGGAGTGTTAAGAGTTAGCAGTGTGGACATGTTTGGAGACACCCGAGGGGATTGCGGGTTTGGTGGGGGAGGGTCAACTCGGTAGCGTTGCCTAAGGGAAGTGGTATCTGTACAGTTTCTCTGTAAACTGCTTGTTTAAGAAAATGGGGGGTGGGGAGGGGGAAAGAGTAGTGGTGCGTTTAAATGTTTGAAAAACGGGTGATGCTTTATATTTTAAAGGAAATAAGTCATTTCTATTTGATCTATAATATTTATTGTGTTCGATGAGGGCGGTAATATTGGTGTCAGTATCTAGTAATCTGCAATCATTTGAACCGATTTGAAAGGTAAAGGGAAAGCATTTTGAAACTGGGGCGGGCGAAACGGGGTAGGAGCCTAATCCGTTATTAAATTTTCATTTATTCGACTCTTCTATCCACTGGTAAAATGTCACGGTCCAGTCAATATTCTATGAATTTACCTTTTTGTCTCCCACTTGCCTCTTTCTTTACCCTTCCCCCCACCAGCGCCCGATTTTTTTCTCCCCCACCTCTTTCTCTAGCTCTGCAGCCGCCTCTACTGGCCGCCCCTCTTCACCTCCCTGCCTGGCGCACCCCTCCCCCTCCCTGCCCTACCTCGTCTTGCTCTTGGGGAACAATCGCCAGTGATTGAGGTTCACTCTATGTTAAGCTGGAAAACTGGGCTGTTATTTAGGAAGTCATTAATCACATCTCCTCCCCCCGGAAAGAGATGGCGGAGAAACCTGTGAAGTACAGTTTCTTACCAACCCCCTCCAAAATGTTGCGAATTGATAAACCTAAACACAATTTGACTACATGAAGGTGATAGCGATTTTTCCAGTAGGATTTTATTTTGAATTTGAAAGATTTCAGGGCACATTCAGGTAATCGTGTGCTTTTGTCTTATTGTAGGTGTATATTATCATCTGAACTTTCATGGGGATGTAACTAGGTTTAATTAGAATATTTTGTAAATTATATATTCTCTAAGAACTGAATTAAATAGGAGATTTGTGTCCAAAGCCGGTTTGCTGCTGTCGAGCTGCTGAATTCTTAAAGGGGAAAAAAGCGTAACCTCGGTTGCTTTATTTAAATGGCTCTTTTCCCCCTAAATGAGATTATTTGGACAGGCTTATGTGTAGGGCACGCGTGTGCACATATATGACTGTGCTGTTTTTCTTAACGATTCACAAGGAACCTCCATTGTGTTTAAATAAAAGCACGAAATCAGCATTCTGTTTTATCGTAAAGAAGCGTCCCAAATTGTCTTTAAGGTAACGTGTTTGAGTTTTTCGTGTTCATTCATAAATTATTTTGATGTCAGCATAGATGAAATGGCGATTGGTTATCTCTTCCTCTTGCCAGCCCCTTAAGGATCCGAGGTGAAATTAGTAGCAAGAAAGCATGTAATTGACAAAGTCACGTGTGCTCAGGGGGCCAGAAACTGGAGAGAGAAGAGAAAAAAATCAAAAGAGGGAAAGCACATTAGACCATGCGAGCTAAATTTGTGATCGCACAAAATCAAGATGTTAGATTGATGCAGAAGATCACTCCGTTGCAAAGGGAAAGTTTTCATCTCACGAGTTTGGAG